CATCTTTATTTAAAAATTAAGCTGGCTTGAATCTGCTCTATTTCAGGTCCTGTCCGATTTTCAGATTCTACTCTTTCATGATATCCAACACCTTTCCCCTTGCTGCCTCTCTTGTCCTCATACATTGTCGTGGGCATGTAGCAATAGCACCACTGCTAACAATGATCTCCCTTTACAGCTTGCTGGATGCCTAGAATGGAAGTTTCAGAAAGGAAACGATGGACCCCAAAGAAAAACGTCAAGACAGATGCTGCTAGTAAGGAAACAGATGTAGTTTTGGAGTTCCAAGCTAACAAAGAAGAGAAGGAGTGGCTAAAGAACTATTATGTGGGACAAATGCACAAGCTTGATGGATTAATGTCCCTACAAGATAGACTGTTGGTAGAAGGATTCTTTTCAATAAAAGTAACTCCAATGGGTGGAAATCTCATGCTGATCCATTGTGAAGATACTGAGGAAGTTGATACCCTGCTGAAGGAGGGGAATGATTGGCTCAAGAATTGGTTTGAAGATGTGAGGCCTTGGAGCCAAACGGAGGTAGCAAAGGAGCGTTTCACATGGATCCGATGCTTCGGAGTTCCACTGAATGTGTGGAATGATGAATTTTTCAAGAGGATTGGAAATTTATGTGGTAGATTCATATCTGTTGATTATAACACAACCCATAGAAAAAGGTTGGATATGAGAAGAGCTTTAATTTCAACTGACGAGCAGGATAACAAAGTAAAGCTCTTGAAAATTAAGGTGGAAGGGGAAATCCTTCAAATCAGGATTTGCGAGGAGATGGGGGCTGCCAATTTATTGAATGTGAATGCTGGTCCTCAATCGATTGACTATGAAGACTCAGAAGTTGGTTCTTGGATTGGTAATTCAGATTTGGATGTCAGCAATTCTGAAGGAGATGATTTAGAAATAGATGAAGGTGATGTGGAGACGAGACTGAGCAAAGTGGTTGAAGAAGATACAGAGGAAGTTGAAACGGCTAACTCCGGCGAGCTGAATCCGACAGTGGGGGTATTCGAAAAGTCAATGGAAGATGGAGAAAAGGTGTCAGAGACAGCTGGGAATGACGCACAGGCTGATGTTGCAGTTGAGGGATATGAGGTAAAGGCTACTGACACAAGACAAACATTGAATGCGAAATCAACTCCCGAGGATTTCATCAGTAGGGATGAAGTCGAAAAGACTATGAGTTCTGTAATAGCATCACATAAACAACAAATTGACATTGATGGTGTTAGACCTAAAGCTGCAAGGGGTGACGGTTCTAGTTCCAAGCAAGTGGAGGGTAATAGAAGTGGGCCATCTGGGGAAGTTGGGCCTATCAACCAGATCATGGATTTGGGCCTAATAAATATGTTGACAACATCTAAGGATATTGTGTCTAATGGATCCAAAAAGATGTTGATTGAATCCAGAGTAAGTGAGACTACTTCGGATAGAAATAAGGGGACGACCTTGAGTGCTGGTGAGGAAGAAGAGGAATGTCGAGCATTTTGGGAAGGTATGGCGAGTGAGGAAGAAATCTACGAAGCTAGATTGGAAGGGCAGAAGAGGATACTAAAGAAGAAGAAGAACTCAAAGATACGAATGAATAGGAAGATCATGACAGGGTGCTAGAGATCGAAATTGAGGAAAGTCGAAAAGGAGTTAATGCAACACGAAGTGAATCGGGAAGTGGGGATAGGGGATAATTCCATTACAACAAGTGGAATTGACAATTGTAACAGAAGGTTTTTGGAAAGATCTTGGGAAGAGGAGGTAGATGAGCTCTAGAAAGTTGGAAAAAGATTAGGACTTGTCAGGAGAGGTAACGAAGAGGAGATTATTAAGAGACTGGGAGAGATGGAGAAAAGGGATAGAATTGCACTAGCATAGCAAAAACAAAGACCTCGGGAGGAAAAGGAGGGGAAGTCAAATCCAAGATGAAAGTCTTAGCTTATAATGTAAAGGGTTGGGAGGGGGAGGAAAAAAGAGGGAGCTGAGAGAGATGATTAGCAAAGAAAAATTTGATATGGTGTTCATCCAAGAAACAAAGTTGGAGGTGATGGATTATAGAGGATGCAAAGCAATTTAGGGCTCAGGGGAATTTGATTGGAATATGAAGCCAGCAGTGGGGAACGCAGGTGGAATGTTATGTTTGTGGAATAAAAATAGTATTAAGGCACAAAGTAGAATAGAAGGAGATGGGTTCTGTGGGATCTATGGTCAGTGGGGCAATGAGGATCTTCCTTGCATTTTTATTAATGTATATGCCCCTTGTGATAGACAGGAAAGGAGAAGGCTCTGGGATGAGTTAAAGGAGATACTGTGTAGCTTTAATGGGAGTTGTTGGTGTATTGGAGGAGACTTTAATGCAATTAGAAGCTCAAAGGACAAACAAGGAAAATATCTTGATAGGAGAAGCCAATCGGAGTTCAATGATTTCATTATGGAAAATGAGCTTGTGGATTTACCATTAAGAGGAAGGAAGTTTACTTGGTACAAGAGTAATGGCTTAGCAGCGAGTAGATTGGACAGATTTCTAGTGTCTAATAATTTCATACAGCAGTTTCTAGATATATCTCAGTGGGGTCTACGAAGGACATTGTCCGACCATTGCCCAATAATTTTGAAGTCCTTGGTTGTGGATTGGGGACTGAAGCCTTTTAGAGTCCTTAACAATTGGTTAACACATCCTAATCTGGAGCAGTTCGTCAAAGAGAAGTGGACCAGTTTTGATGTTAAGGGATGGGGTGGCTTTAGACTAAAAGAGAAGCTGAAATTTTTGAAAAAGGAACTTAAAGTTTGGAACAAGGAGGTGTTTGGCATAATTGAAACTCAAATTGAAGCAGCAAAGGAGGAGATAAAAAAGGTGGATGAGAAAAATGATGTAGGAACATTGGAAGAGACTGACATAGCCAAACGAATAGCAAGTTTTCAAGAGCTAATGGAGTGGACAAATGAAAGAAACAATTTATTATTCCAAAAGGCAAGACAGCAATGGTTGAAGGAAGGGGATTCGAATAGTAAATATTTTCATAACTGTGTGGTTAGAAGGAGGAAACAAAACGAACTGGTTGGTTTATTACATAATGGAGTATGGGTGGATAGAGTGGAAGAGGTGAAGTCAATTGTAAAAGATTTTTTCAGCAACAAGTTTTCAAAGGAGGAATGGCGCAAGCCACTTTTGGAAGAAATAGAATTTAACCAGGTCAGTGCAGAGGATAATGAGATGCTTGTGGTAGATTTTACAGAGAAAGAGATCAAAGAAGCAGTTTGGAGTTGTGGGGGTGGGAAAAGCCCCGGACCAGATGGCTTCAATTTCAACTTTATAAAGAAAATGTGGGACATTATTAAGGGAGAGGTTTGTGAATTTATCAGAGACTTTTAGGAGAATGGAAAGTTGGTAAGAGGGTGTAATGCTTCTTTCATTGTGTTAATTTCGAAGAAAGAAAACCCACAGGGATTGAATGATTATAGACCTATCTCACTCATTGGCTGCATGTATAAAATCCTGTCAAAATTATTAGCTAACAGATTAAGGAAGGTGATGGGCAGCATTATTTCTGAAAATCAAACAGCTTTTATTGGTGGCAGACAAATAATGGATGGTATTGTCATAACAAATGAGGTGATTCACGACCTTAAAAGGAGGAAAAAAGAGGGACTAATCTTTAAAGCAGACTTTGAGAAAGCATACGACAATGTGGATTGGGAATTTTTGGACTACATGCTGTCCAAACTTGGATTCAATCTGAAATGGAGGAGTTGGATGAAGGAATGTCTTTCCACAGCATCAATTTCAGTACTTGTAAATGGCAGTCCAACGGAGGAGTTCAATGCAGGAAAGGGGCTTCGTCAAGGGGATCCACTCTCCCCATTTCTGTTCCTTGTGGTGGCAGAAGCTCTTAGTGGCCTGGTTTGGAAGGCAGAAGAAATTGGACTCCTAAAAGGTATCCAAGTAGGCAGAGGCAATTTGAGGCTCACTCATTTACAATTTGCTGACGATACAATCTTATTTAGTGAAGCGAGTGAAGCTAATGCATGGGCAATGAAATGTGTGATGAAGAGTTTCGAGATGATTTCTGGGTTAAAGGTTAATTATGATAAAAGTTGGTTGTGTGGGCTGAATGTAGACAGTGAAAGATTGGAAGACATGGCAACCATAATGAACTGTTCAGTTAGCAATATCCCCTTCAAGTATTTAGGGGTTCCAGTGGGAGCAAACACAAACAGAATTTCTACTTGGGCTCCAGTAATTGAGTGTGTGAAAAGGAGGCTGAATAGATGGAGTGGGGTTTCATTATCATTTGGGGGGAGAATTGTTCTTCTCAAGGCTGTGTTATCCTGCCTACCCGTATATTTCTTCTCTGTGTATAAGGCTCCAAAACAGGTAACAAACCTTCTCACCAAACTACAATGTAATTTTCTTTGGGGTAGGGGAGAGGGTGGTAGGAATATAGCGTGGATTAAGTGGGATGTGATATGCAAATATAGAGAGGCGGGTGGGTTAGGCGTTAGAAATGTTGAAAGCTTTAATAAGGCCCTCCTTGGAAAATGGAAGTGGAGAGTGTTAAGGGAAAAGGAGGTACTGTAGAGGAGAGTCATATATGAATTGTACGGGATTGATGGCGGTAAGGGGTGGGGAGGGTGTGTGCAAAATGAGAAAGGTTCAGTATGGTGGAAAGAGTTATGGAAATTAGAGAGTGAACTTGTTTCTCCTAACAGGTGGTTAAGGGAAGGTTTTGTGAAAAGGGTAGGTGAGGGCAAGGACACTTTCTTTTGGGATGACATGTGGGTAAGGGATGTGAATTTAAAAGAAAAATTTTCAAGATTGTATTCCATTACAACAAATAAAAATGTGAAAGTAGCAGAATTAGGGGAATGGTGTGTGGGAGTGTGGGTGTGGAAGTGGAATTGGAGAAGGGATTTGTTTGCTTGGGAACTTGATTTGTTACAGGAATTGGAAGATACCATTCGACTGGTGAGCATCAACCGAGGAACAGAAGATGTATGGATATGGAAATGGGACAACAGTGGACAATACACCGTGAGGTCAGCATATCGACAATTGTTACCTGCTCAACAAGTTCAATCTCTACAAGCACCTTTTATCCAAGTGTGGAACCCTCATGTTCCATTGAAGGTTTCAGCTTTGGCATGGAGAGCACTTCATGACAGACTCCCAACAAAGAGTAATCTGGCTAGGAGGGGTGTGATTACAGATGGTGGAGGAATTCAATGTAGTAACTGTTCAGAAAAGGAGGAAACGATCAACCACTTGATGTTTGAATGCCCTTTATCATGGAAAGTGTGGACGTCCTGTTATTCTTGGTGGGGCATTTCGACTGCCATAAATGTGGACACTACTGCACATTTTAAGCAACATACAGGACTAATTGACAGCAAAAATATTAATCAAGCATGGGCGGTGATCTGGTTTGCTGCACTTTGGTCTATATGGTTGCAAAGGAATCAAGTAATTTTCAGCAGTAATCATGACAGCCTGGAGGAAATGCTAGAGCTGATAAAATACAGATCATTTTATTGGATAAGGGCAATGCTACAACCTGAACTGTCATTGGATCTCTGGAAATCCAATCCGAGACTTGCTCTAAGAATGAGGTAATTTTTCCAACTTTGAACTGGAATGGTAAATTGGAAGGATGACAATTTAATGTTGAGATATTCAATGTAAGTGGTGCTGTGAATGTATATGGGTTTGGGTACTCCTTGTACCATAATAATAAAATTTTTGGCTTATAAAAAAAAAAACTGTAATTAACTGTGAAATGAATGTCATATTAGCCTCATCAACTGCCGTGTCATATGTCCTTGGTAGTGGGATCCTCATAAACCAAGGATCGGTCGGTTAGTTTTTTAGATGCAAATGATGCATTTCAAGGAAAAGGGGTGATTTTCTACAATTGTTGAGTTAAAGGGCTGATCTTCCACCAAAAAAAAACTAATTCAAGGGCAAATGATGAGTTTGGGGGCTGATAAGCCCTTTTCTCCAAAATATTAGTACTCTACATCTAAAAATCTGTTTTTCACCTTATACATCACCCTTATTTGTAAATTTGACTTTTTCTGCTGAGCACCATTTTCGTGACATTTTAGGGACATATCAAGCACGCAAAGGATGAGCGTGGTTATTGTGAGATATAAAAGTGTTGGTTACACAAAATTTTTAATATTTATATTTAAAATATTAATTTTATTTCTTTTAATTTTAAAAATTGTTAATATTAATTAATAATTGATAAAATAATTAATATTTATTAATTAACAAAAATTAATCAATAAACTATGAGATTTTTTAACATGTATTCTTAAAATATAAGTTAAATCTCATTAAATATAATATTTATAATTAATTTTGTATAAATTTTCATATTAAATTCAATTAATATAAAATGTAAAATATAAAATATAAATAAAATATAATATATGAACTTAAAATCCGTAAAAAAAATGAATATTAATAAAAATTTATATAAAATTAATTATAAATATCATAATTAATGAAATTTAATATATAAACAAACCCATAATTTATATTTATGTGACCCAACATTTTTTTACTTGAGCATAACTACACCAGGGTCAATAGGGGAAACTATGGATGTCTCCTACAACTGACAACCGCATGAGCAGGACCGGTACAACCGATCAGTTCAACATCTATTTTTTAAAAACTTTTTAAACTTCTAAATTTTTTCAGGCGGTCATTCTGCCTCTATATTCGGCCAAACGTTTTTGACTTTCTAAATTTAGATTTCATTTTAATAGTTGATATATTTAGATTTTATTGCATCCGTTTGGATTTAATCAAACAGAATGTTTTAGACCATCGGATCCAAATCCCACCAAATCCTTTGTTTGCTTCCCCTTTTTCCTCAATTCACGCCCCCATCACCCCTGGCTGGCATTTTCTCCTTCCATATATAGTTTCATTTCATCCCTGACAATCCCTCCTCAGCCCTCTCCTCTGCATCCCAAATCCTTTCTCCTTCTCCATTTCTTTCAATTTATTGTTAGTTTCTTTCTTCTTCTAATTTCTATTCTTCTCTTAGATTTTAGGATAAAGCTTTTATTATTAAAAATCCTTAACAAGATCACGTAGCACTTGATGGTTCATCTGTCAACCCGTGAAGACTACACACAATAGAGCACATCGAAGAGCTGAAAACACTTATTCCTATTAGGAAAAAAAAAAAAGAAAAAAAAAAGGGAGCTTAAAAGGTCTTACCATTATGGAGTACATGGATTGTGCTCTAGATTAGTTCTATAATCAGACATAACCCCCGATGGCTTGGCCATCAACAAGTGGAGACCTTGCATGATAGAGCAGGTAGAAGAGCTCAAAGCACTTGCAAAAGTCTTACCATTATGGAGCACAGGGATCTTGCTCTAGGCTAGTTCCATGGACAGACATAGGCCCCGATATCTTAGCTATCAACGCGTGAAGGCTTTGCACAATAGAGCAAGTAGAAGAGCTCAAAGCACTGACAATGGTCTTACCATTATGGAGTACAGGGATAATGCTATGGGTAAATGCGAGCCAAACCACGTTCATGTGGCGCTAGCTCAATGGATGGCTAAACCACCTTCAAATTTCGTAAGCTACATTTGCTACATTTAGCATTATAACAATGGTAACATGGGTAATTCTATATGACCATGTGATTCTCCCTTGGCCTCATAGATTAAGGGTGAACTAGTGCAACTTGGTGTTAAATTAAGGATGGAGGCAGATCCCATAGACAGACACATTTCTCAATATTTTGAAATTTCGCCAAGCTACGTTTGATACTTTTAACTTTATCACAATAGTAATGTGTAATTTTTGTTAAATAGTTTTATTTAATAAAAAATTCAATTATAATTATATAAAAGTAATAACTTATGATTATCTACAACTCTTATCTTAACGATGAGTGTAGTTAATCTTGAAATAACTATTCAAATTTATTAGGTATAGATATTATTACAGATATAGCTTTTGACATTGATTTTACATCTGTTCTTTTTTTGTGTGAATTTGTTTAGTTTCACTTCTATTCTTTTTGTAGTATTTGTCTCTCCAAAACAAAAATAAATGTTTTTATGGATCTGATTGCATTAAAAGTGCAATTTAGACATTGAAATTATTAAAATAATTTTAATAAAACTCTACTTTATATTTATTTATTAATAATAATTTAGTATCTAAACTACACTTACCGAAAAACATGAATCTCTCAACAAAATTAGTGATTGATTTATTCAACTGGTATTGAATACCATAAAAACGTCAAATGTAAGATGGGCCTTCCAACAAATGATCATTACCAAACGAATAATAATGTTCCTGTACATCAATTTGATTATATAGCTACCAAAGGGGAAAAAAAAAAAACTATTTTTCTATTTCTGCTGCTACCAAATTGATCAGCATTGTCATATCCCTCAAGAATCACTTCCAAATCCGTCTCTACATCCACCTCCACATACTCCTCCACCT